GGAAGCTCAGAAAAAGAGAGGGAGCAAGAGAAGGGAGTCCAAAGGAGGGGAAGAGAAAGCAGGCAGGGCATCCCCAGGGAGGGACTAAGGAGGGGACCAACTGGGGAAACTGAAAAAGGGGGAACAAGGGAAGGAGGAAGGAGTAAGGAGGGAGAGGTCCTCAGGGAAAAGCAACAAGCAAAGCGGCTCCGGGGAGCAGAGAGGCTGCCAGCATCCAATGCCAAGCGTTACCGAGGGGTGCTGAGGAGGTACAGCCAAGCACAACGGCTCCCGTGGTCTCCTCCCGGCTCTCAAGATGATGAAAAGACAGTTCAATCGAATGCGGCAGCAGCTGCCCCATCCCCACCTCAACCTCCGGTAAGGACTTCTCTGCTACCCACTCCGGAGGGCTATGAGGGAGTGGGACATGGGTCCTGGAGGGCTTTTGCCGGGGCTGGACTGACCTCCCGGTGGCCTGGGGAAAGGGGAAAGAAACAGCCCTGGGTTTAGAGCATCTTCAGCACAAGCCAAGGGGCTGTGACCTCCTGGCACCTGCAGGGCAGTGGGAAGGCTGTACTGGTGCTGCTCAGCTGTGACATGCTCAGCTACCTCTTCCAGGGCCCACAGGTGCTGCATCCACCTGGAAACAGGGCTTTTCCAAGCTTGGCTTCCCCAGGATGTGGGACAATGGGGCAAAGGGAAGGGACTTTCCAGCCACATGCCCACGGCTGTCTGGTGACCATGAGGGTGTTAGGAGCTGGGACCTGCCCTCCCTGCTGAGTCTGGGGTGTCCCACAGGAGCCAAATGCCATGCACAGCTCTTGCCAGCCCAGCAGCCTGGGCATCCTGCACTGCCCTCTGAGGAAAGGACCAGGGATCCTCAGAGGATCCATGGAAGACCTACAGCTTCACACAAATCCCTCCAGCCCCATCCTACCTCTGCTGCTTCCTTATTTTTCTCTTTGGCTTTCCAAAGCTCTCCCCTTGCAAAACTCAGAACTGAAATTACAGGCCTGGGCCCTCCCTTCCCAGCCCACTTACTCCCTCTTTCCTACTGCCACCTCCTCAGGTTCCCTGGTGCTGTGTGGGACCAACCACATCCCCTGGACCACTGAGGTCCTTCAGCCAGCCCAGATGATCGGCCACAGGGAAGCAGCTCCTACATCCTGGTGGCCTCTTGCTCTTCTTGCATTTCTCAGAGGGAAGCATGATCTCCTTTCCCATCCCTCCTCCCACAAGTTGTCTCATCTCCATGTTAGATGCACCTCCCTATTGCTTAATGTCAGGCAGGCAAGTCTCAAGCAGCTCCTGCAGTCCAAGAACAAGCTCTTCACATGCTGCAGAGCCTCTCCTCCGTGGGCCACGACCTCACGTGATCTTGCTTGCCTTCAACCAAGCCACCCACATTTCCTGCAGCTCCACAGCCTCGTCCCACATTGGCTTTGGTGGGTGGTAAAATGGAACATGAACTGGGGAAAAAGCAGCAGCAGATGGAAATCAAATGGGGTTGCCAGGGCATATCAATGACAGCAGGATGAGAAGCAAGTCTTCATCTATGGGGGACATCAGGGAGAGGTTTGGGTGTCACGGTGGCTGGTCGGTTTTGAATTTGGTTTTGAGCAGAATTTGGTGCAAACCAGAAATTTCCTTTGTCAGGTTTACGCCCAGAACCTGCTGCAAAACCAAGTCAAAAGCTGGTTTTGTGTAGGCATTTCTGGAGAGGCTGGTGTCTGTCTCAGACACTTGCTTGACCACAGGGATATCCTTGCTCCAGCACTGGTGTCCCCACAGCCAGTGGCTATCCTGGCCTGCAAATATGTGTGCTGGGCTGCAACAGCACTGGCCCAGATTTGCCCTCCGGGAGAGGTGGGTGGTCAGGGCAGCACACATCCCACTGTGGCCCCACTAAGCACCCTGTCTCCAAAAACCACACCTGGATGCCTTGACTGAGGTGCTCTGAACTGGAAGCCCTGTCTGATGGGGTATCCACCAGCCAGCAAGCTTGGCTGCCTTGCCTGGCTCCTCCTGTTCTTGTCCTCCTGGGCTCATTCTACCTGTAGCCTTGTGTGTGATGGTCCAGGCTATAGCCAGTCTCCTGCTACCCAAAACCCAAAGAGAGGCAGGTGGGATGCATAAGGACCTGCCTTCCTAAGGAGGCTGAGTGGAGGTCACCCCTATCTGCTGACGGCTCTTTCTCCTTCCTCTGCAGATCCCAAGAATCAACTGAGCTCCTGTCAGAAGATTTGCTGCAGGTGAGGTGCAGGCTGGGCCAACAGGCATGTGCGTACCTGTGCCTGGGCGTGGGAGCCTGCCATTCATTCTGCTGGGATATCCAAGTCACGGGGCTGGGATCTGCCCATGTGCTGGAGGGTGACTTCAGAATCATGGTGCCAAAGGATTGGCAGGCTCCCACCATGGGAAAGGGCTTCCCTTGCTGCTCACGGATGGATGAGTCCCAACCAGGAGCTGTACTCCCTTTTCCCTGGACCAGGAATGCTCTGGGCTGTGGTGGGATGCTGGGCAGGCCAGCTGCATCCAGAGCTGGATGGTGTGGAGTTGGCCTCGGGGTGCCCATGGGTAACAAAAGGGCTTCCCCAGTGCCACCTTTCTGTCCCCAGATTGAGCAGAGGATCGAGCCAGCCAAGCGAGCAGCTCACAGTGTGTCCAAGAGGCTCCAAGCCTGCCTGCAGGGGCAATGTGGCTCCGAGATGGACAAGCGAGTGGTGAGTAAAGTCCTCCCGCCACAACCTCTGCTCACCCCAGCTCTGTCCCTTGCCAGCAAAGGGGATGCCAGGGCTCTGTTCTGCCAGCTTTGCTGAAGGGTGGCCCAAAGCGGTGCCCAGCCCAGGTCCCATTGCCAGCAGTGGCCACCAACAAGCAAGCGCCTGTGGAGAGCAGAGCAGGGCAGCCCTCTCAACCTTCACTAATTTGAGACTCTCCTGAAAGAGACAGTGTTCTTGTATTGAATAACCCTCCAAAACCCTGTTGTCTATGTCCCTTCACAAAGCCCTGTGGTGAGGAGCACCACAGCGTGGCCAGGCATAGTGGTGTCACCACCTCTCCTCTGCTTGAATCTGCCACCCTTGTCCTGTCAGGTGCTCAGCACTTTCCTTAGCGCCCCCCATGATTTTGTGGGCTCCACTTTTCTTGGCAACCTGACAAGCCCCAGCTGGGCTTAATTATTCTTGGTGATTAAACTACTCAGTACATTTGAAGCCATGGCAAGGCTAGGCTTGGTGAGAGCCTCCATCAGGGTCACAGTCCTGCACAGGGGACTATTTGAGAGAAAGCCAGAGGGTTTTTGTCCAGCTATGGAGCCTTGGTGCCTTGTTTAGCTAACTGGATCCTGGCTTTGGTCGAAGGGACATCCAAAGGGCCTTCCTCAATAGGGCCGGGTTGGGCCAGGAGAACACGTGGGGACCCAGCACAGGGTTTGGCCACTTGCTTCCATGGCATGGTGACATGTTTCATGGTGAGAGAGTTGCCACATGCCAATTCACCATCCCTTTCCTGAATCCTTGGCTCTGTGCAGAAGAAGCTGCCCTTGATGGCTCTGTCCACGACAATGGCTGAGAGCTTCAAGGAACTGGACACAGAGTCCAGCCTTGGGTAAGTACTGTTGGGAGAAAGTGTTCCAAAAGATGCCAGACCCTGGCAGTGATGCTGTCTTGGCTCAGGGGCTCCCATGACTCAAACCCTGTCATTGGAGTGGGAGAGGGGATAGCCAGCACCTCTGGGCTCCCATTGCAGAGTAGGGCCAGGGGCTGGCTCAGGATCCCACATGCGTACGTGTATAGCGAGGGGTCATAGAGGATCATGGCCCCAGCCCATAGTCATTTCATCTCTGTCCCCATGCAGGAAAGCCTTGGAGATGGGCTGCTGCATACAGAGCTCGCTGGCCAAAATTCTGGCCGAGTTTGAGATTTCCCTGGAGCAAAATGTCCTGCAACCACTCAACAAGCTCAGTGAGGTTAGTTCTGGCTGACCTCCTACGTCCACTCTCCCATCCTACCACCCCTTCCCACAACCCCAAGCCTCCCCCACTCACTCTGACCCCTCTCTCCCCCAGGAGGAGCTTCCCATCATCCTGAAGCGCAAGAAGACCCTCCAGAAATTGATTTCTGACTGGAACACAATCAAGAGCCGGTATGGGGCACACATCTCCCAGATCAGGGCATACATAGCACAGTGCCCAGACAGGCTGGGGGAAAGAGGAGGATGACTGTTCTGAGGAGTGGATTTCCTACTGCTCTTCAGGAGCACCCAGCCAGCCCCTCTCTGCAGGTGCATCCTGCTCTGAGCTGAGCTGCTGGTTCCATGGCACCAGAGAGAAGGGCAGTGCCACTGCCAAAGGCATCGAAGTGCCCTGGGGCTGCTTGGTACCATTGAGATTGGCCCATTCCAACTCTTACCACTGATAGCCGGTGCCATGCCAGGTTTCTTGGGGCGTCTGCACACCTATCCCACATGGTGTCCCTGGCACTGAGACCATGGATGTGCCTCTTCTTTCCCACCCCAAAGGCTTAACCAAGCTGTCAAGAACTCCAGTAACAGCACAGGAGGTGGCGCTGGCCCGGGGGCATCATCCGCTGCCAACAAACTGGAGATCTTGAAGGAAGAAGAGGAGGAAGTGAAGAGGAAGGTGGAGCAGTGCAAGGTGAGAGAAGGCTGGTGAGACTGGAAAAGGCACGTTTTCCCTCCCTACACCTGCTGCTGCCTCCCATTTTGGACTGGTGGATTGGGGACCCCAGCCTGAGGTGGGATGGGGATGCTGCTTGCCCTGCTGTCCTCTTCCTCTTTGCTCTCCCTCGCGGGGCAGCTCCAAGACTGCAAACCTGCTCCACCCCACCAGTCTTGTCCAAGGTGACCCCATGCTAAGATAGATTCCAGCCAGCTGGCATGTCTTGTCCTCCACTAACAAATGGGCCCCAGAAGCAGAAATAGGGAAATGCCCTAAGCCCAGGAAAGAAAGAGTAAAGGATTCAAAGAACAATGGGCTGCAGACAAGAGGCTCCAGGGACTAAAGCAGGGAGTTTATGGAGTCCCCTCAGGCTGAGAACCATCTGAGCTAAGTTCTGTCCTGGGTGGCAGGGAAGTTTCACATCAGCTTTTCCCACTTCTGCCCTGTTTCTCTGAAAAGCCTGGAGCCTTGTCTAGCAGAGCTCATGAGCTCACTAGAGCTGAAGGTGCAGGGACCTCATGTCCCTGAGTCACTTGTGCCAGGACCTTGATCATAGGGCAGGTTGTTGCCGCTACCCAAATGTAAGCGATGGAGACAAGGAGGAATCCCCACCACACACAGAGACCGTGTCTAGACAACTCACAGATCGGACCAGAGGGCTTCATAAAGGTGTCTCCTTTTCCTCGGGTGCCAGGGAGGAGATGGAAGATTGCTCTTCTCTGTGTCTCCCTTTCCAGGATGAGTACATGGCTGACCTCTACCACTTCTCCACCAAAGAGGACAGCTATGCCAGCTACTTCATCAAAGTAAGTCCTCTCTCATACTTCTTCTCAGTATGTGAATGTCTGTCTCCTGGGGTATGTCTGAGCCCAACCTTGTCCCCCATCTGCACCAAGTCCCCCACCTGAGTCAAGGGACAGACCCAGGCATCAGCAGATGCCTATAGCTGGCCTTGCTCTAGGCACTGCAGGTTAATGCCACTACTACCACAAACTGCAAACAGCAGCTCGTCATGATGACCCCCCTCTCCAATTTGCCTTCTACCCCTCACTGCAGACATAGTCTCTGAACCCCAGGTGGGTTGCCCTTGCAGCTCCCTCTTTGCCCTGTCTGCATGTGGGTGTAATGTCCTGGGAATGGGGGGTCTGTGACTGGTGCCAAACTGAGTGCTATTTGCCTGTCTGCTGTCTGGCAGCTGCTGGAAATCCAAGCCCACTACCACCGGCAATCACTGGAATCCCTGGACTCAGCTCTGGCAGAGCTGAGGGAAAGCCACAGCCAGACAGGTACCTACTGGCTCTTCATGCAGCCCAGGGAGGGCTGTAGTCAAGCCTGGGGGATGCGAGTGTGGCCGGTGAGCCTGGAAAAGGCACGTTTTCCCTCCCTACACCTGCTGCTGCCTCCCATGTTGGGCTGGTGGGCTGGGGACCACAGCCTGAGGTGGGATGGGGATACTGCCTGCTCTGTCTCTGCCTCTACCCAGCCAGGCTTGGCTAGGAGCCAGATGTTGCAGTGGCCAGATGCTGGATGATCTTAGTGGCTACTGTCCCTCTTGACATTCTCCTCCTTCTTCCAGACCCCTCCTTTGCTGCAGACACCCCAGTGGCAGGGTACTATGGTGTGTCCCTAGAGACACACCTCAAGAGCTTGGGTCGGGAGATCGCACTGCCCATTGAAGCCTGTGTCATGATGCTACTGGCCTCCGGCATGAGGGAGGAGGTAGGAAGTGCTCCAGATCTCCTCACTACCTTTCCCCCAAAAATCCACCCTTCCCAAACCCAAAATCCATCCCTTCCCTCTTCACCCCATCCCCAGGGACTCTTCCGGTTGGCAGCAGGTGCCTCAGTGTTGAGGAAGCTGAAGAGCAGCTTGGCCAGTGGCTCCAATGCTCTGGAGGAGTTTTACTCAGATCCCCACGCCGTGGCTGGTGGGTGCCAGTGAGGAGGGATGGGGGAACATGAGTGGGGCAGTCCCTGCCATCCCCCAGCTGCCATCACCCCCACCCTTCCCTCCCAGGTGCACTGAAATCCTACTTGAGGGAGCTGCCCCAGCCTTTGATGACCTTCGAGCTCTATGACGAATGGATCAAAGTGGCCAGGTGGGTCCAGGTGTTGGGGTGGAAAAGCCTGGTGGGGCTCAAAAAGCCCCCAGTCAACCCCCTCCATCCTTCCTGCTCAGCCTCATTTGCTGTGTGGGGAGGATGCGAACACAGCACCTCCGTGGGTGCTGTATTGGCTGCTCAGTAAAAGCAGAACATCTCCCTCAGCAGGGCTATGGGCTTCACAGGGCAGCCAACACTGGCCTTCCTCCTTGCCCACTGTGTCCTACTCTGTGATAGGGAGCAGGCTGAGCTCTCTGCTCCTACTTCTTCTCTCTTTCAGCTTAAAGGACGTGGAGAGCCGTGTACAGAGCCTGCAAGAGACGTGCAGCCGCCTGCCCCAGGACAGCTACAACAATCTGAGGTGTTTTGCCAGAACAGGGCATCTTCAGTCCCAAGCAATCACCAGGGGTGGCCATTCCTCCCCCAAATCTGTACCTATTATACCCTCTCCCTCCTTTCACCCCACAGGTATCTGATCAAGTTTTTAGCCAAGCTGGCTGAACACCAGGAGGTGAATAAAATGACCCCCAGCAACATTGCCATCGTGCTGGGCCCAAACCTGCTGTGGTCACAGCAGAGCAGGGGGTAAGGTCCAGTTCAAAGGGGTAGGAGGGCAGCTCCACAGCCCTGGCTTGGGTGCCCTGGATGTACATGCCATGGGAAAGGCCAATCCAGCAGTCTTCAGGCTGGTCTAAAGCATCTGTGCCTCTTCCATCCTCAAGTCCTGTCCCTTGTCCCCACACTCTCCAAGTTGCATGTCCCCTCACCAAGCATGTGTCCTCTTAGCCATTCTGCACAGTAGCAGAGGAAGGAGCTGAGACCTAAAGCACTCATGACATGGTTGGCTTCCAACACCACTGGCCTCCCAACACCAAACCACGGTTCCCAGGTCAGGGAACAAGACCGTCTCCCACCCTACCATGCTCCTTGGACTCTGTCTCCCCTTCATGCTCAAGAATGAACACCAAAAGGGTTAAGGCACCCAAACTCCTTTTCTGATACCTCCCCCTTCACTGTCTGACAGAGACCCCATGCAACTGGACTTGGCCTCAGTCTCCTCCATCCAGGGTGTGGTGGAAGCCCTCATCCAGAATGTGGACACCCTCTTCCCTGGAGGTAGGGCCAGGGCATGAATTGCGGGGTGAAGGGAAGAGGAAGGGAAAGGGACATTTCTCCATCCCCAGGAGGAGGGAAACAGGGGTCTGCTCTGGCTCCCTGCCATGAAGTCATTGCTCTGGGTGGTAAATGCTTCCTCACAGGATCTCCTCCTTTCTCTCCACCCAGAGGTAGACTTCAATATCTCAGGCATGTTCACACTGCCTGCAAACAGTGGGCTTAGCAAGGCTGCTCCAGCAGAAGAACTGACCCCCAAGCCTCCCCCAGCCAGCACCACCCCCCTTCTGGATGGAGAGGCGTAAGTCTGGTGGCAGCTAGGGGGTCTGGCTGTCCCAGTTCTCCCCATGTCCTCCCACCATCCCACCCATGCCAGGGGCCGTATCCTCACAGGTGGATGCAATGTGCCTTGCGGCCAAGACCACCGTGCTCAACCAAAGCCTGACTTGCCCCATTCTCTGCGCAGCGCGTCGAGGGACCCTGAAGACAGGTCCCAGCCAGCATCCCCAGCACTGACCAGGACATCTTCTGAAGCTGTGGGGCCACCAGCTCCGACAACGACTGACGACTCCACACGCAAAGGTTAGGGTGGCCCAGATGGCACAGTACTTGGGAAATGACACCCTCCAATGCCACCTCCCATGGCTTAGCCTTCATCCTGCCATTCACAGCACAAGAGGGCACCAGAGATGTCCCTGCCACCAAATGAGAGGCAGGGCTTCTGGTCAGGGCAGCATGGCCAGGATCCAGGCCCTCATTTCATGCTCCAGCCCCAGCTGAGGTGGGACTGTGGTATGGACACATTACGTGACACTGGAACAGGTTGCCCGGGGGGGTAGTGGATGCCCCAACCCTGGCAGTGTTGAAAACCAGGTTGGATGAGGCCTTGAGCAACCTGGTCTAGGGTGGAGATGTCCCTGCCCAGGGTAGGGGGTTGGGACTAGATGATCTCTAAGGTCCATTCCAACCCCTAAAATTCTATGATTCTGTGAGATGACTTCCAGCATTGGGTTGAGCACGCCCTGTAAAGCAGTGTCAAAGTTTGCAACCCTTCACGAAAGGAAGAGGGGAAAGCCCCCAAAAGCTGGTGAACACTTGCCTGCGTCCCCCCTGCCTGATCCATCTGCTCTGCCCAGAAACCCTAGCGGAGGGGACCCCAACCCACCCCAGCTTTCTTTCCAGGCAAGCGCCCAGCTCCTGCC